TGCTATCACTGTGAGCACGCAGAAACACTCTCGTGCAGGATGTTGCAGGAACAGGGAGAAGAGCACTCTCCAAATGCAAATTTGTAAGCTCTGAAGATGCCTTTAATCTTCTGGGCATGTCATTTCTGTCTTGCTTGACACAGCAGTAGGGATCATCCCCATCTTCTGGGAATTCCAAGGTTGAACCTCACTTATCTGCCAGGCAACGTGTGCGTGGTACTTTGTAGACCTGCAAATGTTTAGCAATGTCCAACAGTTGGGCAATAGGTTCCTCCTACTGAACGAGGTGTAGTAGAGCAGCACGGTCCTACCTTAGAGTCTCCCCCATCATCTTCCTCCTTCTCCCTTTGTCTCATCAGGCTGTAAGAACATGCAGCATGGGCAGACGCTGAAGGAGCTGATGCAGACACCGAACTTCCGAGTGACAGTGGTGCAGGAAGCTGACACCGTAGAGATCTGCGGGGCTCTCAAGGTGGGTGAGCTGCTCCCCCGGGGTTTGCAGGTCCTGGTTAGCAGGGCCTGCGGTTCTCTCGGGCTCTGCAGGGAGCTCTGGGGAGGAGGCTGCCGGTGGGATGAACCCCACCGGGTAATTGCACTGTGGCTCGCTGAGATCGTTGGGTCGGAGGCCAGACTTTGGAGGGAACTGTGGGTGCATCCTCTTCAGCTGCTTGGAGGGATGATGATCACTGGCATAGGCAGGAGCCTGTGCTTGGGATAACACAGGCAGGTCATGGACACAGCAAAGCCCTGAGCTCCTTTGGGAACAGATCCCTCCACACTGCTGCTGTTTTCCAGAACGTTGTGGCTGTAGGAGCTGGTTTCTGTGATGGGCTTGGCTACGGAGACAACACGAAGGCTGCCGTGATCCGTCTGGGACTGATGGAGATGATTGCCTTCGCCAAACTCTTCTGTAAGGGCCCCGTCACCTCCACCACCTTCCTGGAGAGCTGCGGGGTGGCTGACCTCATCACTACCTGCTACGGCGGCCGCAACCGCAAGGTGGCTGAGGCTTTTGCCAAGACTGGGAAGGTGAGCAGAGCGGGGAGCAGGCAGCATCAATATCTGCATCGCCCTGATGCAGGTAGGGAGGGGAACCCAATTAGCACCGTGGTATCCTGCCTTCACTCGCCCACTGCCATGGCCTGGCTCCAGGGAAGGAACGTGGGGCAGGAGATGGGGTTGCAGGGTCCAGCTCCCTCACTGTTGGGTTGTTTCAGTCTATTGAGCAGCTGGAGAGGGAGATGTTGAACGGGCAGAAGCTGCAGGGTCCCCCGACGTCTGCTGAGCTGCATCGCATCCTTAAAAGCAAGAACGTAGTGGAGAAGTGAGTGCTGTGATCTCTCTTGTCTGCTCTATTGGGGTGGGGCTGGGATCTTTCCTGCAGCTGTGGAAGGGGAAGCCCAGCCTTAGTGTCTCTGCTGTTCAGGTCAGTCTCTGCACTGCCCACATCAAACCAGCTGGGCAGGAACGGCCTGTCGGACGAGGCATGCTGCCACTGTCCCACCTGCGCCTGCCCAGGGGTCCTGCGTGTTGCAACAGAAGCTGAGGTGCTGTGACTCTGCCAGCCATGGTGACAGGGCAAGGGGTGACTTTGTTCATCTGCCCACAGGTTCCCCCTCTTCACAGCTGTGTATCAGATCTGCTACAAGGGCAAACCTGTTACTGATGTCATCAAGTGTCTCCAGAACCACCCTGAGCACATGTAAGAGGGCTCTGCCTGCAAAACCACTGATCCTGCTGAGATGAGCAGAGAGCTCCTGCCCACATCAACTTGCTCTGCTGCTACAGCTTTGTAAGGAGTCTGGATTTCCTTGGAGCCTTTGCAGAGTGCTGGAAGGGCAGAGGTTCCCTTTCTCAGCCCTGGACACTGCCAGCCTGAGCCTGGCACCGGCACAGAGGTACCTGCTGATCTCCCTCTCTCTTTGAAGGGCTCATTTAGCTTCTGCTGCTGTCTAGGGTCTGCCCTGAGTGGTGCCAAGCGTCTTTTTCCTGTTACTTTCTCTTGCTGTGATGGATTCACTCCTCAGAGGGACTCTGCCAGGTCGTTTTGATTGATACGGGCTGTGCAGGAGACGCTGCTTGGGAGGACAAGTTTTGCTATTAGCCCCATGGGGCCACTTTGCTCTATACCAGCCCCTTCCTGCCTGCTGCTGTTGTTTTTGGCTTAGCTGTCTCGTGGAGAGGGCACAGTTCTCTGCCAGGCTCCACCAGGGCGAGTGAAGCTCCTCAGGCCTTTCAAAGGGGCTGAGAATCACTCTTCTTTCTAAGAAGCACCAGCAAAAAACCAGCATTCTTTACTACCCTACCATGTGCTGTTTCCCCGGCCACCACCACCTGCTCCTGCCGAACGGTACGGCCAATGCTTTGCCTGTGAGGGCAGCTCCAGAGTGAGGCCTGAGAGCTTGTTTATTTAGATTTTTTGCACTCACGATCAAACCTGGCCCCTGCACCTGGGGAATTCCCCTCTTGTCACAGATTTGCCTGTGCTAATTCCATGCCCGCTGACTGTCCCTGGACAGCCTTTCTCCCTTGTATTGGTTTGTCCTCTGGCTGGCTTTGGCAATGCAGGGACCAACTGCCCCAAAGTCTTTCTGAGCAGCTGGCAGACTGTGTAACCCTTGACAGTGTACCCGACAAAGCAGATGCATCATGTTGCTTTTAGATGAATGATCCGCAGCATTTTTGCCTTCTCTCTGGCTTGCTCCAGTCTGTGCCTTAGCCTGGTCTTCGCTTCTACGTGTGGCTATCTAGGAGCTGAGAAAGCAGTTTCCACACTTACTTTTCCCTGCTGCCCCTCCTATGAGGGTGCTGGGAGCTGCCCGCCAGCCCGAGGGGCAGCAATGGACCTGTGATCCACAAAAGGTACAAGGAGACCTCCAACACTGCAGGAGAGGACAGAGGTCTCATGCCTCGTGCTGTGCCTTTGAAACTTGCCCCTTGTCCGGCCGGGTGCCACGTGCCCCTCTGGTCCTCTGACGCTGGCTCCCTCCGCTCGTGTTTGCTCAGGCCAGCGTGTCCAGCGGTTCACTGATCCCTGGCTGGGCTGGCAGGCCAGAGCTGCTGGAGGTCTCGCTGCCCACCTCCGTTTCAGGTCCTAGTGCCGCTGCGTCTCTGACTAGCAGTGTACTTTACGAGCATTTAAAATAATAATAAACTTGGAGAAGAGAGGGGAGATGTGCTCTTTGCTCTGTGGCTCTGGTGAATCACCGTCTTTGGGTTGGTGCCTGCTGGCCCTGCTAAAAGTGCAGAACAGGGCACTGTCAGTTCCTGCCTGGCTCTGCACCCTTGTGTGCTGTCCCAGAAACAGCAAGAATGCCCCCGCAGGTCACTGTTCAGTCACAACATAACACAGTGTCCCTAGTGCTTTTTCTCAGCAGCGGTTCCAGGGGTAAAGCTTGGCTGGAGGACCACAGAGAGTTGAGGTTGCGAAGTTGAACTGGGTACAAAATCCTAACTCTCCTACCTGGGGCCTGCAGGAGCCGGGCCAGGACCCCACTGTGCCCCATGTACCCCAGGCCTCCCCTTCTCTGATGTCTTGGCTTCTTGGGACATGCTGTGTTGTTTTATTCATCTCTTCCCAACTGCTTTTCCCAGACTTGCCTTCTCCCTGTCTTTCTTTGAAATGCATCTCATACTGAGTGACCTTTCCAGGAGTGTTAGCCCTCTGCTCGGCCTCTTGCTAGGGGAATTTAATCTGCTGGCACTGCAGTTGTTTCTGTGCCTTTTATTAGACACGCTTTCTCACTAGGCACCCTACGACCTTTAAATTCAACTGAGCTATCGTACGGAAAGTAGCCAGCATCAGCTTCCTCTAATGAGGAACTTTATTGAGGTTGGAAGGAAGATAAAGGAAGTCCAGTGTGTTCCCACAGGGCTGGCACAACTTCTACTCCCTCTGGCTTGAAATGCTTCAGGAATCCCAGCTCAAGGCTTTGGACATGAGGCTGATAGAGGAGAGAGGGTTTCTGAGCTCTCCTACCTCGATGCAGCCTCTCACCTGGGCTTGCTAAACTCTTGCTAGCGCCTGCCTGAAGCTGCAGCAGGATCCAGAATTGTGTTTCGGACTTGCATTTAGCTGTTTGATCCTCTGCTGTGGAAGTGCTTTGTGCATCCCTCCTCACATGGGTTTCTTTGACACTATGTGCTGCTGGCGGCATCCAAGTCCCTGGCAGCCCCCCCAGCATTTGCTGAAGGTCCCAAGTCTCACCTGGAGGTGGTCAGTGCATAAGCCTCTTGCTTTTAGACACCCCATGCCTTGCACTAGCGCTGGAGTTCATGAGCTATAAAAAGTCTTCCCTTTGCCATTTGGAGTTATGTTCTGCAGCCTCAGCACATCCAGGCGTGGCAGGGCTCGGCAGCCTCGGGAGCTGCTGATGTGCAGCGGCCTGGGGAAAGGACGGGAGGGGGCCGGCCTGACGTTTGCAGCCTCGGTGCTTGAGGGAGCCCTCGGAGCAGAGCGGTGCTGCGACAGCACTATTAATGCTAGTGAGGAGCTCTGGGAGGAGAGTACCACACCGTGCACTGGTGCCCCGGGGGAAGCACGGCTGCCTGAAGTGTTTGGGAAGGAGCGCAGCCTCCTGAAGTCCTTGGGAAGCAGCACGGCCTCCTGAAGTCCTCAGGATGGAGCACGGCCTCCTGAAGTCCTCAGGATGGAGCACAGTCTCCTGAAGTCCTCAGGATGGAGGCTCTTTGGCTGTGAGCACAGGCTGGGCCCTCAGGACAGGCCTCTGAGTGCCTCAGCTCCCGAGCGTGACCTGCACAGTCTTTCCTCCATCCCGCACATCACCTGAGGCCAGGCCTCTCGGCCGAGGGACCCGGGCGGTTCCTGGCACCGAAAGGCCCCACTGAAGAGGGCCGGGAGCGGAGGGCTGCGCTGAGGGAGTTGGGACCGAAGCGGGGCCGGGGGCGCTGAGGGGCGGCCGCGGCCCTGGGGGCGCCGCCAGAGGTGACAGAGCGTCAGCGCCTCCCCGCCGTCAGGGGGCGCCGCATCTCCCCCGCGGACTACACCTCCCAGCAGGCAGCGCGGCAACGCGCCTCCCCCTATCACGTGACGGGAGGCGGCGGGGGGCTCCACCCGGAAGGGCACGGCAGCGGGACGGCGCGCCGGTGCTACCGGAGCCCCGCGGCGCAGGTAACTGGGATCGGGGGGAACGGGGGGGGGTGGGAAATGGAACGCGCCCGGCCCCGCTGACCGCCGCTTTGTGTTGCAGGCGCGGCCATGGTGTCCGGCAAGCAGCTGGCCGACTTCGGCTACAAGGCCTTCTCCGGTTCCATGATGCTGCTGACGGTGTACGGCGGGTACCTGTGCGGCCTCCGCGCCTACCGCCTCCTCCAGCGCCGCCGGGAGCGGCAGTCCGCCGCCGGCCCCGGGAGCTGAGGGCGCCGGGGACCCGGTCCCGGCTGGGGTGGGGGGGGGAAGGAGAGTAATAAAAACCGTGTGAAAACGCCCAAACGTGGTGCCGCGTGGTGTCTGCCAAAGCCAGCGCAGAACAGGGCCCGCCCAGCTTAAACTGGTGCGGGCAAAAAGGGGCAGACCCTGGCCTCGAGTTTATTTTCTTAAGATAAAACATGTCAGCCAAATTTCTGAAGCATCTTTTAATCGGAGATAAGAGTAAACAATGGTATAAAATGTTAACTCAAGAAGTTTTCAAAATTCTGCTCATGATTGACACACAGATCTTCCATTGCCCCCAAGTACCTTTGAGTTAAAAAAAAAAAAGAAGCAAAGCCTATGGTGTGGCTGCCTTTCCAGCCCAGTGATTCCTCCACAGCTGCCAAATCAGAGCAGCAACATTCACTTCTGTCTCGAGTACAGACATGCAGGACTGAAACATCTCATTTTGTGGAAAGTTAAACACAGCCCACCAGTACTGGTCCGCCCTCAGCTCAAGTCCTAGTTTAGCCAACTGTATCCAGTAGGTCTAGAAACATCTTCAAAACCACCAACTTGCAACAGAAAAAAAAAAAAAATAAAACGCATGTCTTGTGATAGTTGTCTTAGGGGCAATAAACCACCCCCCTCCCCCATGTCAGAAGGCTGTAGTCAAGACTTCAGAGGGGCTTGCAGCACCAAAATAGGCAGCAAACGCTGGCCTGGTCCCTCGTGACAGCAGAGATAGAAGCTAAAACCTCCTTAGCATCTAGCACCCCGGTGGCAAGTGAGAACGACGCTTCTGTTGTAGCACAGTCCAACTCAAAGCCTGGCTCTAGTCCCAAGCGCTCGCAGCAGGACTGAGAAGAGTCGTCTCTGCTACAGCTGGGGTAGCTGGGACGTGGAACCGTGGGCTCCTCGTGCTCTGAAGTGGCTTCTGGAGTGCATCGAGGAGAGATGCTGAACCTGCACTGGAGCAAACCGTCACTGAAATGGCACCGTAACCCTCCTGCAGCCAGCCTAGTCCAAACTTCTTGTGCCTTGAGTTGATCCTAGTAAAAACCAGTTTGTCACAAACAAAGATACCTCTGCAAATATCGATGGGACTATGATTTGAGTACAAAATGGCTTAAAGTGAAATCTGCAGCTTTGTTTTTGCCCTAGTCATCGGCTTTATCCCTTCTGTTGTGCAAAGCCTGCGACCGGTCTGGATTGTGCCCATTTCAGATTTGCTGGACGTTTCTGGGGAAGGGGTATCTTGATTAAAGATCACTTGGGAATGTGGAGCTCAACACATCTAGATATTTAAAGATAAGTTCGTGTTTGCTCAAGGCCAGTCCACGGCCTTACTCCTCTTCTGTCCACTGGCCACTACCCACGTGGCCATTAATGCGGTTGGAGCCGTTACTTGAAGTGCTGAAAACTCCTTTTGTGCTGTTGGAACTCACATCCTCCTCTTCAGAGCTGCTCTCTACATCACTGCGGTCATCTTTTGATACCTGAACGTTTCAGATGAAATTTGGTAGTGGAAAGGGGAGAAGGGAAGTTGAAAAATTCACAGAAAACAGTAGTTAGAAGGCTGTGCCCATGTGATTAACCAGATTCAGTCAGTTATATTTACCTTCTACATTTGATCCTGAATCACTTCAAACTCACAAGGAGGAACCTGTCATCACATACAGAATGCAAGAGACAGACACCAAAAATGACAATTTGGAAATACGAGTTCCATTTTCCAAACACTCTGTACATCTGTGAAAGCACCACACCTCCTTTGCTCTCACCAGATCAGAGGACACGATAGATCTTTGGTTGTTCTTCTAAGAGCTGCATTCCAGATTGGTTAAAGGCCGCTTTTCCAAACAACAAATTTGTTTTGAATCAAAAAACTCACACCATAATCATCAGTGGGTATGATGACCAAACCAACATGCATATATCGGCTTTAGAGAACACTGTGTCCTAGAGGGAGCGGCTTTGATATTTTAAAAATTAACCAGCTATATTTATCACATTACTCTTTGCACAAAGTGCCCCCCCACTTTCACAGCTTGTGATTCATACATGAGAACTCATTTACGAGCAAAAGACTGTTTGGACAGTGGGCTGTAGAACAAAGACAACTATCTAATCCAGCAAACACCCGTTCAGGAGCAGAAAGAACACCTCAGCCCAGAGATCTAGATCTGCTTTACAGAGCTATGCTTTTAGTTAAAAGACTGACTGCAAATCCAGCTGAGTCTGATTTGTACGTGGGGTTTGAGCCTCCCGAGGCAGATCAAGGCACACGTTGCTGCCGGCTGTACCGAGCGCCGCAGGAGGGCACTGTCCCAGCACCGCAGGGCCAAGCGCACCAGAGGGTGAAGGGAAGAGATCACAAGCCCGGCCCTAACTGCAAACAAGCACCTTGGCTGGTGGCGGGGTGCCAGAGCCATAACCTCACCAGTGCCCAGCAGTGGCTGCCAGAACTGCCCGTGCTTTGCATACCCCACGGCAGGCTCTCCACGCTTCTGCCTCTGCGACTAATCGCCCTCATTTACTTAACGTGCAAGCATTTTGTGGCTAGCACCTTTCCAAGGATTTCATTCTACTCTTCTTGCTCCGAGTCAGGGTTAGGGCTTTCCAACAGCACCAGGCAGGAAGTTTTTGAACTCAAGGGAAGATCTGGCAGAAAGCCAGGGCAAGTTAATGATCTCCAGGATTGGTTTTGACAGGCCTGTTGGATGTACTGGCTTTTCTCTGTTGCCAGAACTTTTGGTATTCTTCCCTACTCTCCTGCTATGCTGGAAGTTCAAAGGATCACTGGAAGGAAGCAGAACTCCCTTGAAATTTTTCCCATTATTTGGGGGATGAGTGACTGTTCTACTCCTTTTCACAAAAAACATTGCATTTCTCCTATCCCCTTCCACTCAGCAGAGTGTTAATGAGCACTAAAGACAGATATCAGTGTTTCTGTGGGTGTATAAAAGCAGAAAGGTGAAGGTCATGCAGCCAGCTGACAGCAGATAAGAACAAACCCCAGGACGCTGCTTTGACCTTTGGAAAAACCTGCATTTTAGCGTAGTCAGAACCAGCCCTGTATCAACCAGGGAGAGAAACATTTTAGGAGAAGGCACCAGCCATTTAAAGTCCCAAGACCATACCTTTGCTTTTGTTTTAGCCTTGAAACACGCAGATGTGTTTCAGGGCACAAGCAGAAGCACAGATCACACTTACATGCAAAGGATGAAACTGTTCAGCTCCAATCTGGCACAAAGAAAAGGAGAAAAGAATGAAGAAGACAGAGCTTAAGAGTCCTTTCTCTGGCTAGGTCACCTGGACAGGAGAGAACCAAGGAAAGGAAAAAGATGTAGACCTCAGGATACAGGAGCAGCTGCACAGACAGAAAATAAGACATTTGCAGTAGCAGCTGTGGGGAACAGATGAAAAGATTATGTGCATACTCTGAAACACGCCTTCCCCTGACAATCACTGCCACAGACAACTATGATATAAATATTTTTCAAGGTTACATTTACATTCCATGCGTAGGGGCAGCTAAGAAGTCAAACAAAATAAAAGAGCCATGAGAAAAAAATCAGATCAGAATATCAGATACCCGATTAAAAAAAAAAAAAAAAGCATTTGTGCTGTGAAATCAGCTGTTGATCTCTGGTAGCTGCAAAGCAAGTGGCTTCTCTTGATAGGTAGGCTGGCTGTCAAATGAGTTCCTAGATTGGCTTGCCCTGTCTCACACTACTTCAGTTGAACTACACTTTTCTGCTTGCAACCAAGGTTGCAGCTGAAAGTCAGCATTGTTCACTCTTAGGGCAATACGTTGCTAAGCAGCTGCTGTAGTTTCACCCTCCCTCTCCCTAAGACTCCTAACACAAATTATAATTAGAATATTCAGGACTGAAGCTAGACTGCAACCCATTAGTCCTGTGACAACCACCAAACTGCACTGGTTTCTGATAACGCTTTCTCCTCTGCATACTGCAGCTCAATGCCAGGCTCCCACCAACAGCCAGAAGCCTGTGTTAGTACTAACAAGTGGAAGATACATAACCCTCGTCACATCCCCAGAACCAGCTGTAAAACATCCTATGTGATTGTTCAAAAAAGAGACTACTACCACCTTAAACTCCAACCAAAGTACATAACACGTCTGTCATCCTCACTAGTATTACAACATCTGAACATACTGGAAAATCGTGTTATTTCCCTGCATGACCAGAACAGAGAGGAAAGCATCCCTGCCTTTGTATACACCTGGCAGCTCAAGTCAGCAGAGCAACCAAGGTAGAAAAACTGCTGTTCTACAAAGCACTCCTGATGCAAGTCCCTTGAGAACTGGTACTGGCCCTCACTGAAGGGCCCAGTTTCTCATGATTGCTTAATAGGGCTCTAGGAAAGAGGACCCAAAACAGTCACCAGCAATCTTACCTTTCCCCGTACGAGGGCCTTGTAGGCAATGCGAATGATGAGATAAGACCAGATGATATGCAAGATCTGCAAGGTTATCAAAAGCCCATTGAATAGCCACCATGAAGGATAAGGACCAATCAACTCCCAGCTTTCAAAGAGGGTTGTATTCAAAATCCTAAAAGAGATCCAGAAACACATTACAGACCGGCTGTGCTGGTAACATGGCTTTGAGCTCTAAATTAAGATGACTGGCCAGATGCACAACAGTTTGTATCTCATTTAAGCATCTGTTGCTTTGCTCCTGTCAGAGCAGAGATGCAGCTAGTCTCTTGCCAGAGTTAGGAGACAGACTAAAGCTTATTAGAAACATTTGAACTGAGCAACAAACAGGAGAAGATGTGAATGTTCCGCCTTTTGGTTACACATACAGGTCTGCTGCCAATTTCCTTCTCAAAAGCGTAAGCATTTATAATAACTTTACAGGAAGTGATGCTGAGCTGCACTGGTCATCAAAACAACTGTTAACACATTCATACTTGGGCAGTCTTCACCCATATTTAAAGATCAGGAAGGAATTTTGTTCCCAGTAGGCCTCCTTCCCTCTGTGCTATTTTCTTCTCTCAGACTTTTATAGATTACCCTGCCAAGCTGGAGGACTAGAAACTGCTTTATGG